CCCCCAGCACCCCAAGTCCTTCTCCTCAGTTTCATAGGCTCTTCACACAGAGCACATCATTGCAGTGTTGAGGAGACTGCCTGCATTGGGCACAGATCCTATGGAACTACAGCCAAAGTCCCAGTGACGTGCAGAAATCTCATATTCTAAATTATTTTCTGGAAACTATTTTGACTGGAGAGGCAACAGCAGCTAACGATAACTTACCACTATAAATTAATGTGATGGGCAATGTGCAATTGAATTCCAATGCTGTGGAATTCTTTCTTACAGTCTCTCTTCTTTAATTTCAGTTCTTGGCCATTATCCTGGTTATCTTTATTGCAGAAGTATCTGCTTTTGTCCTGGGATTTGTTTATCGGGAAAAGGTAAGTGAAGAATTAGCATCTCTGTAGTAACCTATAAGTAAAGAATAGATCTTGCATTGTTAGAGCATTCCAATAGATCCAGTTTTCTTACACTTCATCCCCTATCCTGCAATCTGTAGGGCAAGTAGGAGTGGGGATGGCATTATCCAGTATGTGGATCAGTCTTTGTTGGGAACATGGTGAATACATAAAGCACCTGGCAGGCATCACAACAATCTCTAAATGGGATTAAACAGTTGTTGGTGCTCACAAATTAGGGCTTTTCCATCAGGGGAGGCAAGCTTCTATCCCGGAATGGGATTCTGATGAAGTGCTACCTGCATTTTATCTAAAACATGGCTTGATTCTGCCTCCCCTCCTCAATTTAGTTGGGATACAGAACTTTTGCAGTATCCACTAGATAAAATTCTTAGCTGTCATGTTAAAACAGTATGTTTGGGGTTTTGGGGTTTTTATTTTTTTTTTTCTCTCTCTCTAAATAGGTAAAAACTGACGTGCAAAGCACAATGCACTCAGTCTTTGAGAAGTATGATGGGAAAAATCCAGAGTCTACTGTTGTGGATTACTTGCAAGAACAGGTAAGAAAAGATTTAAATTGTCCTGAGAATTATTTAGAAATGAACAACTAGGTTGTAAACAAGGAATTAGGGATGGGAAGGGGGTCAGTATGGTGGTATCGTGGAACTTGGATCTACAGCAGTGTTTAGCATCTGATTCTCCAAGGCCATTGAGGGTGCTCCCCACTTTGCAGAGTTGGCATCTTCATGCTCCTGAAGTTCATGTAAATGAATGATCTCGTTGAGACGAGTGGCCTTTGGATCAGACCAAATGAGTATATATGTGTTTTTGCTAGCATAGAGTTAATTTTCTTTTTA